ATTTGTTGGAGGGAAGGGACATCTCAGTTTGAGATTTGCACATTAAATTAGCATGGTTAGGTAGCTTTGAATTTATGCCGTTCATTTTGCCATACCAAAACATGCACAAACAGGGTTAGAAGTAATAAAACACACATTTCCACCAACTTCTCCATAAAATTGAGTTTAATAGATTGTTAAAATAAGGCTATGATAYGATTTTTAGCAAACTTTTACTAGGAGGAATGACTGACACGGCATCCAGAGAGATTTTACAGCTAAATGTGAGCAGTAGGTGGGATTATACTGACAGAACGGACAGTTAAACAAACATCTGGAGAAAAACATACAAACACACACTTATTCACCTACATCCATCCACCCAAAACGGTGGCAATAAACTGCAATTTAGCAGATGAAATAGCTGTTTTCATTACAAAAAAAATAAAAAATAAAACATGCATAGCTTCAGACTCGAATGTTTTTTTTTATTGTTGTCATTTTTGATATTTGTGGAAAAAGAAAACATGATTAAACACTATCCTATTTTATTTCATCCTTATTAACAATCATGTAAACTGGTTAGACTGTATTGTTCACAGTAGCCTCCTGTGATATATTTTGTTCATGTAAAAAGTTACATTCTGAACCCAGGTGGGCTCCGTGACAAAGACAGAAAATAAATACTGGAATGGCAAACACACAGTAAGTCACTGCCTGGAAATGGACGTTAGATGAAACTTGTCTCAGTCTGGATATAAAAAAAAACTAATTAAAACATCTGCTTAACGACGGCACGTTGCAGTCAGTCATTAAAAGCCTTCATAAAAGTCTCACAAACAAAAAAAACAATGGAAAAATTACAAAAAACTGCTTTTTAATATACAAAATTCCTTTTCATGCTGCATGATCCCTGGAAAAACTGAGTTTTTAATTAAAACACTCTTATTCCCAATGAAACCCTAAAAAAAACRGTTCAACTTCCAATTCAACAAGTTTTACCTTTCATCTTCCTTCCTTTGGTCACAACACAACCAAGACACAGTAGTGTTGATTACATTATTTACACACACGTTCCTCCATGACATAAGTGAGTCAACACCAAACAATTTAAAGTGCCAATGAGCTGAAGCGAACAGGAAGCACTGAGCTGTCGGCAGCCATTTCTTCACACACGGGACAAACGTTCAAGGCTTGGATGATCGGGCAGGACAACAAACACACTTTAGTGAAGATTCCTCATGTGGGATAATGCTAACCTGGTTCTTCTATTCACAGGGAAAAATCAAAGGATTCAAAGTGCTCAGACAACATACACCTGCRTCATTAGAACTCTAATTACCACATCTAAAATTATCCTAACAAACAGAAATTAAAAGGCAAAATATTTTCTTAATTTTAAACTGAAAAGTTGCAAGTTTTACGCTTATAAATTGTATATTTCAGTTTAAATTAAGAAACGGCTACGTTCACACTGCAGGTTTTAATGCTAATTTTTTTTTTCAAAAATCCAAGTTTTTGGCGTGGACGTTTCTATTATATTTCAAATGTGACTCCAGTGTGAACCCCTCGCTGCACTGATGAGATCCACGTGCACAGAAGATGACGTGACGTCACATTCAGAAGTAGCCTATGGATGCTACATGTTAGCGTGTCGAAACTGAAGTTGTACAATCGGAGCTATTTAAAAACACATTTCTGACATGCTTGTTTARTTCACTGTTTACATTTGAACTGTTCGCTTGACTGTCGGAAAAAAATCTGATATAAAAAAATGGGATTTGGGTCACATTTTCCTGCAGTGTGAACGTAGCCAAAGTAAAATATTTTCATTAATGAAAACGTTCAGCTGCCTTTGTTTCAGTCTGTTAGGATTACCTGGCTGACCTGCTAATCATGCAACAGAGGGGATTTCTGTGCATCGTTCGCTGCAAGCTGCTTTTCTACTRAACACTAAACAAAACAAAAGTGTAACCAACAGAGAGCCTAAATAATCAAAATATTTAAAACGTCAAACTGTGGGTTTTAATTATTTGAAGGCCACAGTTTATCCAAATAAATGAGGGAAGAGCAAAAAGATAATAGTGTTTTACTGACTGCGAAACTTCCACGTCTATATTTTTAAAACTATATTCAGAAAACAACACTAACCTGATCAAAGTGCCAAACCTGAACCAGTTTTTCCAACATGCAAACCCAGCAGACAAATGCCCGGGCGGGTTCTTTAAGTTAACATACCCTCCACCTTAAGATGTACAAAACACTAAACAAAAGTCCTTTTTTTTGTCCCTTTTTTTTTTTTTTTACAAAGTAACCGTCTGCTCAGGCATAAAGGATAATTCATAAAATGAAATTTAAAATCTGGGAGTGACGGGAGGCTGGACGGCCCTGGAGTTTAGAGCGACAGTCTGTGGTGGTTTTTAATCAGGAGAAGTGGTGACCTGCCAGACGATGAGGTGGCTCCGCTCGGCCTTGGTGGGCGCCGACGGTTGGCTGGCGGTCTGCTCGGACAAACCATCCAACTCGCTGCCTTCGTCACCTGAAGAGGAGGAGGAAGATGAGTCAGGGAAACGGCACAGAAACCGTTACTGTTTTCCCCTCCTTATCCTAAACTTTTTTCTTTTTTTTTTGGAAAGTGAACAGAGAGTTCAGAAATTGTRTCTGCAGAAATTTTGAACGAACCAATTCTGAAGTCGATGTAACCTTCTCCTCCGCTCATGATCAGGTATGTTTTGGGCTCGGACACTGCTGTGTCGGAGGATTCGGACGCAGGTTCATCAGAGCCTGAATCTGCACTACCTGGAGGTGGCATCGCCTGACCTGCAGCAAAAAGAAGAAACTCGGGATTAGGAGATTAACGTCAATTTACCCGTTATTAAAGGAGAAAACGCAATAAAGAAGCATAAATGCATCAAAACAGAGATAATTTACCATTTTAGTTTCCTTGTGTGAGTCTGCATCCTGGTTTACAGCCTACTACGGATGGTGACAGTAACTTTTATTTAAAACTTAAGACACTTAAAAATACACTCACCGGCCACTTTATTAGGTACACCTGTCCAACTGCTCGTTAACACTTAATTTCTAATCAGCCAATCACATGGCGGCAACTC